GGTGACCCACTGCCTTCTTGTTTCAGCTCATATTGTAAACAAGTATTCTTTTTGTGGTCCACTCTGGACCACATGATTCACATTTTTGTGATTTTTATTAGTGATTTTGCTATTAAAGTGGACCTAGGGGTAGTGCTGAAGTGCTGTCTGTGCTCCTACCTTTAGACCTGGGTTAGAGAGCCAGGAGTTCGTTCTAAATGAATCAATGGTTTATATTAAATAAGATGTCTTTAAACAGAAACACACACAAGACCAGACTATGGAGTGATCAGGTGATGAAAATGTGTTGAGAAGCTCGCAGGAACAGAATCCTGTATTCCCCCCAGAAGCGATGGGTCAGTAGTCACTAACTCAGTGTTTGCAGGGACTTTATAGAATTTAACTACCATGGATAATGAGAACTGATGGTTTATGCCTGAGAATGGGCACCAGGTTCCCCTCACCTTCCTTCCTCCCCCCTGCAAGGGGAGATCTGCTCAGAAAAGCCATGCTGATCGCTGTCATCCCGTTCCTGTGGCTGGCTTAGGTGTGGGTTTGGCAAATCAGCTAGGATCCCTCAGAGGCTCGCTCCTGACCATACCTGCAGTGTCCTGGCTTGAGGCAGCCAGGGGAAGGAGGGGGCCGATGGGCCTTGAAGTCCAGAGGGGACCGTGGCACGATTCATCAGAGTCTGGTTCTCTGGACAGGCAAGTTTGTGGAGAGAGGCAGGGGATCACGGACGGGCTGAGCCCATCCAAGGAGAGATGGGTGTGAGACCCACAGGGCCTCGTGCTGTCTGAGCTGCTGGCAGCCACATGTGGGATTCTGTCCAAGCTCCCCACTTTACAGACGGGGGGGTGGGCTGAGGCCCCAAAGAAGTAAGATGCTTGGCTCTGACTTTGCCGTTCCAAGAAATGAGGCAGAGAGGTCTCAGGCGTGCCACTCTCTCCAGGGGTGAATTATACAGTCATTATAGTGAAGCGCGTGTCATCTGAAAATGAGGATAAATGTTCTTAATCTGGAAATGTCCCAGAGCTGGCTCGATGTTTCAAAACAGAGACAGCCATTAGCAATCAGCAAAGGTCCTGTAGATGGTTCTTTCGTGTCATTTGAATACCACGCCGAGCCTTCCCGCGGACTGGAATGCTGTGAATTATGGACTCAAATAACACAGGTGACAGAGCCGGTCCTGTAAAAGGCTTCTGATGAATTATCATGTTTGTGGTCTCCTGGGGGAGCCTCAGTTAGAAAACGCAAGTCTTGGGCAATTAATATCAATATGCACAATTTAAATCCATTGCCTCTGATTAGATAAGCAGCCAGTAATGGTCTCATTTTTAAACAAACAAGTTTTGCTGGAACCCTGATGTATGAATTTGCCAATTAGTTGTCTAGGCCCACTAGACTGCAGGCAAAACTCATTTGTTCTTGAGCCAGACCACTCATCACATATTTGTAACATGAACAATTCCTTATAAAAGGCTCAGGCTCTCTTTGATGGAAATTTCTCCCCTTATTTAGAGAAGCAGGGTGGTATATTGCAGTTAGATCTGGGTTGTAACTCTGTCTCTGCCACTTCCTAGCAAATTTGGCTGTGTCACTCCTCCCATTCTGAGCCTCAGTTTCCCCAACTGTCCTCAGTAGAATAATCCCAGCCCTTTCCATGTCACAGAGTATTGTCAGCATCCAAGAAAATAATGACTACAATGCTGCTTAGTAATCATTAAGACCTGGGGTGTTGGAGTCAAAAGCATGGGTTTGAATTCCAGCTCTGCCACTTCCTAGCTGTGTGGCCTTAAGAAAGTTACTCAATTCCATAACCTCATTTGAAACCAGGGAGAATAATAGGACTACCTGTGAGGATGATGTGAGACTACAGGACAAGTGTACATCACTTACCTATTGCTGCATAACAATGTTACCACAAGTTGAGTCACTTAAAACCACAATTTTATTATCTCCGAGTTTCTGTGGGTCAGAAGTCAGGGGGATGGCTTGGGTGAGTCCACTACAAGGCAGTAATCAAGGTGTTGGCCAGTGCTGGGTCTCATCTCAAGCCTTGACTGGGGAAGGATCTGCTTCCAAGGTCCCGTGGTTGTGGGACTGGGGGCCTCAGTTCCTTGCTAGTTGTTGGCTGGTGGCTCCCCTCAGGTTCTTGCCATGTGGGCCTCTGCCAAGGTGGCTGATCACTTCATCTCCCAGCAAGCGAGAGCGTCTCCTTGTAAGACAGACCACAGTCCTATGTGGCACATTCACAAAAGTGACATTCACTCACCCTTGCTGTACTACATTGGTTGAAAGCAAGCCATGTGTCCCACCACCCTCAAGGGGAGGGAGACACACAGAGGTGTGAACACCAGGAAAAGGATCACAGGGGGTCACCAAAGCATGCCCGCCTGTAAAGGACTGAGCACAGGGTCTGATGCATCCAGACACTCAGTGTTAACGTAGTGATGGTGATGATGGTAAAATGACACACAAAAGAAGGAGAAGCAAAAAGCTTGGGCTCTCTTTCACCTGGGCATCCTATTTCTGATTCCATATATTGAAGTTTCCTTCATTTCCTGTGTGACCTCAGAAAAGTTACTCAGCCCCTCTGAGCCTCGTTTATAAGGTGCCGACAGTAAGACCCACATAACTTCCATTGTTCTGATTATTCAGTGAGATGCGATACCTCAAGCAGTGCCGTGCTGGGCTCAGAAAAGCTCAAAAACCATTAGCCAAAACAACCGTCATCACACAATTCAGCAAAAGCGCTCTGCCAGAACCAGAGCTTGCCGGTGATGTTAGCGGACGCTGCTTTCTTTCAGGCGAATGCTGAGAAATAACAACAAGCCCAAGGAGAAGAGCGTGCTCATCCTTCCTCCGAGGGCGGGCACCCCCAAGCTCTTCAGTGCCGCCCTGGCCGCAGCAGGAAAGATGGGCGCCAAGGGGGCCAAAGGCGGCAAGCTTGCCCACCTCAGGGCTCGACTCAAGGAGCTGGCTGCGCTGGAGGCAGCTGCACGACAGCAGCGGTTGCTGGAACAGGTAATGTCGTTGGAGACCTAGCCACCTGGTCTGTCTCAGCCACGTGCCAGGAAGAAGGCTGAGGGGCCCACACACTGAATTTTAGGGAATATTTTTTCTTCTTTGGATCAGTCAGTACTCATTTGGTTGCGAGTGACAGAAATACAAGCAACAGTGCACGTTTAAATTAACTTGAGAAAATAGGGAATTTATTGGGGTAAGTCACTGAAAAGTTCAGGCAAGGCTGGATCTAAAAGTCCAAATGATGCCAACAGGATGAGTTCTGCCATTCTGTCATCTCTGCTTCCCTCAGGATGGCCCCAATCCCAGGCAGGCTTTAAGATGACATCCCCCAAGATTACATCCTCCTGGTTGAGCAGCTCCCACAGAAAGTACCTCTCTTCCAGTAGTTCCAGCAAAAAGTCCCAGGGCTCATAGTCATTGGACAGAATTGGGTCATGTGTCAATTCCTGAGCCATTCAGTGTGGTGCTCTGGGCGGACTGGCGCATATGCCCATCCCTAGACTGAGAGTTGGGTGTGGGGCAGAGAGGGCGTTCCCCCAAATGGAAGTCCGGGTGCTGTTGTGGAGGTAGGAGCAGTGGGAGTTGGGCAGGGATGTCTGTTACCAGACGACAGTGATGTTCTCATATTTAATGTAGCGTCTGTGACAATTTAACAGATTTGAAAGGAGTAGCCAAGGCAACAGGCATGATGCCGACTGTTCCCGCCCCCCATAAATCTAAAGGGAATTTTAAAATTAGTTCTGGGGCTTTTTTCTGTGACTAATGCCAAGAATGCCAATTAGAATGATTGCACTAATTATGGTTGTTCACGACTGCCCTTTGGGGAGGCTGCTGGGAAAGGGAGGATGGGGTTAGGCAGGAGCTCAGTGGCACGGAGGGACAGCAGTGTCTGCGTGACAGAATCTAATCCAGCTTGGTATCAGAGCCCAGGGGACCCGTCCAGAGGCCATTTGACAGCAGGTGTCTGGGGAGTGACACCAAAGTCACTTGGGGTTCTAAGACATTCCCCAGACTAGCCACCGATGGCCCCAGATTGAGGACAGACATGATTGGCTCACAAACTGTCAAGGGCAGGGTTCAGCTGGCAAGTTGGGATCTTTAGTGCTGACTAGGGTCTGGGGCTCAGTGGACATGAGCTCCAAGAGTGTTCTCAGGACAGTGAAAGGTTTTATCTGAAATGGGGTTTGTTGCTTCTAAGTGTTAGCTCTTCACCCAGGCAGCTTGGAGATGTGAATTAAATTTGCATGCATGTTCTCATAAAAGGCAATTTTAGAACAGCCAGGGCAGAATGACAGAGTGCAAGGAGCTCTTAAATAGCAGTCTAAGTACACAGGTCCAATCCTGGCTCTGTCACTGCCTGCCCTGTGACCTGGAGAAGCTCCTCTAGGACCCTCTGGGACCCAGATTACTCATGGCTGCCACATTGGGTGCAGAATATCTTGAATACCTTTTATAAAAGCATTTTAAACCTGGTGAAGCACTTGACCAACCTCCTCGTGATCCTTCTGGTTCCACTCATAGTGAGATGCTTCGGGATGATCCCATAATGGGTACCATCTGGGCATCCTGCCCTGGAAGTGTGTTGTCAGAGTCTGGGGTGGAACATGTGCACCAAAACATGCAGAAACACCAAGACAGAGGGAACATCAGGTCCCCAGAGCTGCCTTGGGTTCTAGGGGGGTCTTGGCTCCCCCACTCCCACCCAGTTCCCTTCCTTCAACCCCCTATGACTTGAGCAAACATCAGGCGGGTCTCTATTCCTGATAAATACGCTGACTGCTCTCAGTTTAAACTCATTACCACCACCTCAAGTGCATCTTGGTAGTTGTGGACTATCAGGCCTCCTCCTCTGGGGGCTGCTCCCTCCTGCTTCCTCCCATGCAGAGATGGGGTCAGACAGAGCAGGAAGGGCAGTGGGTATCCACAAAGGCTTGGGTTTTCACCCAATTCCCTGATTGTACCCATAGAAACCCCATCCATGGGAACCCTGCAAGCTGGAGGCTAGAGGTAACCACCAAGTCCCCAAATACAGGGGCTCAGCTCAGCCCAATGCCAGTGGCACCCAGCCTGTTCCTCCCCTGGGGGGGTCTCCACCTTTGAGACCTTCTGGAAAAGCGGCCAGGCCACAGCTGCATTTGCTCTCATCAGTCTTTACCTTATTTGCTTAGAGTTTTTCTCCTTCACCTGGGAGCACCCATTTCTGGTAACTGGGGCAGGCAAGGCAGACTGGCTGGGCTTTGCAGAGTCCTTGGTGGCTGTCCCTTCTGATCACAGCTTCTCTTCCCTCAACAGCTCAGTGACCAGTGCCAGGGCTCTGCCCTTAAATAGGCAACTTCATTCGACTTCTAGCCCTGCAACTCAGCAGAGACCTAAAATATCTCCAAGACCTTTCACCAAATCCAACCAGGATTTTTAATCCTTAAACTTTCCCATAATATATTTTTTCTACCAAATAACCCTGATGCAGCTCTGCCCAACCCAGCCATTCCATTTCACCCACTGCATTCTGCTATCTTCCTCCTCAGGGGTCTGAGAAGGGGGCAACTGGGTGTCCTAGACCCCTCCAAGACCCCTGTGCCTCACGAGTCACTCTTTCTGGATTCCAGGCCAAGAGCTCTGAAGACCCCATGGGAGAGGGGGGCTCGGTCGCCCCAGAACAGCCTGCACCCTCGGACCCTCCAGCCCTGCGCTCTCCGCCACCTGCCCCCCAGAGGAGGCCCGACAGAGACGGGGAGGGGGCAGCCCAGTCCGAGGAGCACTCAGTGCGGATCCACATGAGCCCAGGTCCAGACCCCAGCGAGCAGGTCCTGTCAGTGGAGATCCCAGAGGAGGAGAAGGAGGAGGAGAAGAAGGAG